GCAAACATGATGTACGTACTGAACTTAAAACGCAATCACCTGCAGTGAACTGCAGTGAACCAGAAGACATGGTTTTCGAAATACCATATCTTCCACGGTTGTTTAGAGGAAATGTCAACGCATGCAACTTCGTCAACCTGTGCTTACGCAAACGAAATGGGTAACTAAGTTTCACCAACCACAAACACATTTTTCTGAGCGGTCCCGTACGTCAAACAGGTGGCCGTCTCCTCGCACCACTTGGTGTTTGAATCACGCGCAGATCGGACGCAACCATAAGGCATCTCTCCCGCTGTCCGCATATAAGCTAACTCTTTACTAATACAACAATTTCGGGGTTTATAAGAATGAACATGACAACGAGCGAGTTAGGATGACCTACAATTTAGTAGTAGTTTAGTCAACTGCTTATGTCAAAACAATGTTATTTAATGTCCATGGAAATAACTCGGCCTTTGGGGAAATTTCTTTCAAGCCCTCGTGTGAAAGAGTATCCAGAACTTTCACCAATCAGAGAGATAGTAGGATGTTCCTTCCCGGCTCTGCACGTTAGAAAACTACTTTGCAAGCAGATGATTTGAGATGTGGTGAGAAAAGATGCAGTGTTACGGCTTATGCAGGGAACACATTTGGAAAGTATACTGTTTCGCAAGCAAAAACAAACCTGTTCTCCTTGACATACATTGATTTTTTTCGTAGAAAGCAAGTCTTTTCCCGCTGACACGCCACTGGCTTAAAAATAAAACCGCGCATGGACGGGATATTGCAATTTTGCCGTTGGTTGCAGGCTTATTCGTCACCGACTTAGTTTAACGAGGTTGCTTCTATGCGTGGTCTACCCAGCCTAATCGGAATACCGGATAGACTTTCGGCTACCATGTCCTATAGTCAGCAGTTTTCGAGAATTATACGCATTCGTTTTCATCGAAGTTGACTGTCTACCGCAGTTAAAGGCACCACATAAATATATTACTTAGCCCGGCGGAGACGGGCACTCAATCAGCCACATCGTTTATGCACTAGGGCGTTTATGACTTTTCAGAACAAGATTTGGCGAGTGTACACCTTCGGTAAATTCTCCTCAGGCCATAAAAGTTGACATGGGATGGTTAAGTTTAAACAATCTATCGATCGTCATTCCTTACAGGTGGGAGCCAAGTAGAGCGCAGATTTGCGCATGTCACTAAGTGACTGCGGACCACGCTAGATGTGGAGTTTTCACAAAATACTTTTGCGCGCACAAAACCGGCTTCCTCAACCGGATCGCGGTCGCTTCTGCTGTTGCCAGCAAACGTTGACCCAGGGACTTTGGGTAGTTTGACGGGACCTTGTAAATTACCTTGGAGCCTTCGCTGGGGTCCACACACTGTTTAGAGTCAACCATGTGGGCAAGGATAGAGCAGTTGATGCTTTTGATTTCACCTTTGGCTGGCCATGCAGGGAGGTGCTCCCGTATGCCTTTGGATAAGCACCGACTCGTGCGACCGGTACAACCTGCTCCTTAGGAGCAAGTAAATGAGTAGCTACACATAGAATTGGTCTGAACTGGCAGCATATCCTTACCTTCGTCGTGCAGGGCTGGGTTGGTTGAGAATAACACCCGAACTTTCGCTTCTGGGAAGGTTTGTGCTACGGCTTGATTGAGGCGTCTGCTCAGGAGTTCGCTTGCTGCTGAGGAATAAGGTCTTCTTTTCCACAGTGGATGTGGTGGACTTTTACTAATCAATTTACCAGTTCAGTACGACCTTGTTCTGCTAAATACAGCATGTGGCATCCGTGTTGCCAAACTAAGAGTTTGGAAGTTGAACAGCTAAACTGTGCAGTGGTAACAAGTGATAGTGTCACTGACCTCTTCAAACTGTTTTCCCACCCTTCCTGGTATATCTTCTCATTAAAGATTATCAGAAGTGATTGATAAAAAAGTTAAATAATAATCACTTTACCTGATTTTTTGCAAATAAAAGCGCTGCCTGCGAATGTAGAAAGCAGCATTACAAAGGGTCCATCCTCCTTACTGCCAGTTGGTTGTTTTCGGTCCTCTCTAAGTTTCAATACAGTTTGAATTAATTGCCAATCACGTGGACAATCTGAGAGTTCTCACCTGTACAAATGAGTATGACAGTTCTCAAACAGCTGCTGAAATTCCAATTCGAATCATTTATCTCCATTTGTGAAGCAAAGGTCGGGTGGTCTGCACTTCCAGTGATTGCTGGTCAAGATCTTCATCCAAGTCACTTTTATGCTAACAAGCTGACTTAAATGAAATATTGCGGTCACTTGAAAATAGCTTTAACATAAATAAGTATTCGCAGACCTCCCTGTGTTGAAAGAAAGCTCTATTTTATAGACTCTTTCTAGGGAATAAAACTTCATATTTCGTTTCATATGAGTGGCTATGGATTGAGTAAAACTAGTTCCAATTAATATGCTTGCTCAGGGTGATGCTAACTTGTATGGATTCGACTGTGCGCCATGTGCTGATTACGGCTGGTTATCTGGGAGTAACGGATATACCTATTCTGAATTCCAATCATCTTTTAAGACGACGAATACTAGGTTGCTAATGCAAGCGAACATGCAAGTCCTAGGAAGTGATTGAGAAGAAGACGACCCGATCGCCGGGACCCTAATCCCTCAACGAGTGCAACGATTAGCCCAATCCATATTTGGTGCTGAGACTCAATTTGGCCAACGCAAGTCGCCGATTGGGGAACGGACAGGCTACGGCCTCATCCTATACCAGTACCAGAGGGCCAGATGACCGGGCAATCATCAGGCCTGAGTTCGCCACGCGTGATAAAAGGTCAGCAGGTCAGAGCCCGCATGCCGTTCAACAGACCGCCCACACTCAAGAAGGCAATTAGGGTTAATTGTCGTCGTCTGGTTGCAGTAATTACTGTATCCTATAAATACTGCAAACTCCTGTGCATGTGCTACCCTATCTGCTTTTGCTCTTTGACTATGTCTCTAAAGACGAATCCGCGACGGATATCGAAACGTCAGGCGAATTAATTGTCCTAGCGATGGAGTTGTCTTCTTCTCATATACCGGCTTCTGCACACTTAGCCCTTCATCTGGTCCCTTCATGCGAATAAGGTGCATTTCCGTTGCTCATAATCAAAGATCATAAAACGTCAGTTGGCCACTTCCACTACAAATTGCCTCCATCTTTTACATGTTCTGGATAATTTGTGCTGCTTATATATTCGTTTGAGGCTCGTTGACTTTAAAAGTTATACGCTGGCTATGTGAACGGTCACATATATATGCTATTTTAGGTATTACCGAAAAGGACAGGGACACGCTAGGATGGCTATTTGTGACTTATTAACCATCGTCAGCTGGCGAAACTCAACTTTTTTGTTGCCGCTGAAATTGCTGCACCACTTGCGTTTTAATTTTAAAAATGACCTCGAGGAAGATATAATCTATTTCATACGTGTTTATAAATTAATCACACTTGTCAAGCAGAGAGGGAAGTTGGCTGTTAAAATCCTCTAGTTAATACAGAGAACATAGGACAGTGTGCCTATTATATTGTCCCTCCTAGCAATGGCTATTAGACACTGTCACTTTGGAGGAGGGAGGCGGGCGGGGAAAACCAATGTAGTATTTTGCCCTTTATGCGCACGTTATACCTAAAATCATGTAGAAATTTACTCCGCATCTTATAGTAGAGCAGAGATCACACGGACATTGCTGGGGGACCCACTGCCCTCGCAACTGTGCCAAGTGGCGGCAGAAAACCGGCGTAACATTTGTCGATTAAAAAACGCTGAAGTCAACTTTCATTCGTCTTGACATTTTCTTGCTATTGGAACAAGTATATTGATGGCGGAAGAAGTGTGGCATCTACACACTCTTTAAGACTGAATTCACGCAAAATATTCGGCAACGTGCTCGCTTCATAAAGAAAGTCATATTTGATGGCAGGCGTACAATCGGAAGAAGGTACTTTAAATGCTCATGTATGGACCCATATAGTTTCATCTGGTGCTGCTCTCAAGAATCCATATCAGAAAAACTACAGCTTCTGTGGCATTCAGCATGGATATTTTTTGAAATTCGCGGTACTCAGCAGCTTCCATGACACATTGTTGGATAAGGAAAAGTTAAAAAATGATAATTTCACGTGATAATATCGTGCACCGGTTTTGTGAAAATTACGTTTAGGCTGATCTACTTTCCTTATTTGAATTCTAACTTGCTGAAACATTGTGTATAGTCATATCAGTTCAGTTTTCAGGCCTCCTTGACGTATGCGTATATCTAACGCTTCGACTACTTCGCATTGCATCTATTTACCAGTATCGCACTTTTCTAAAAATTCCCATATACCACTTTTTATTGCACATTTGCTTACTTTTAGTATTTAGCTGGTGCAAACGCTTAGTCCGTGGTTTTGTGAATGGGCTGAGTTTAGTCTTCCGGCTCATCCATCTCCTGCTGCGTTTACTTTAGTATCCAGGAAAACACTCTTTAATTTCATGAAATTCGATTTATTAGAAAACAAAAGAATTTCAACTTGAACACTATATCCTGCAAACATACATATATGCGCCAATTATGCAGGCTTCCGAAGTTGAAGAACAACGGTTTTTATATTTTACCTACCAGTGTCTTCCAACATTTTTTCACGCCCATTCGAAGAGGGTGAATGTAGACAACGATGATAATTGGTACGTTGACGCAGTTTGCGACGATTAAGAGTTCGCCGAATCTCTGAGCTGGGGCCCCTATGACATAAGTAGTGAGATCGACCGCGCTGGCCAATTGGTAGAACTGATCATACGATAAGAGCACCAGGTAACTGACAAACAGAGGGATAACACACAACGAGGTTTTCATCCCTCTCCAAATGGTATTTGCCGATGCGTGACTCTCACTTAAGGTGATGTTGTAGAAATGCAACAGTTCCAACTTATCTTCACGTCTGCACTCTGCAGGCGTCTTCAGTAAACGCCGAAGGCGAACACTTACGTAGGCTAGGACGCAACCGTCAAAAACGATTAGGATTGCTATCCAGATGTAGACTTGCGCATATACTATTGATAGGAGGGGCATCCTGATCTTACGATTGAAGCAGTTGCACTCATCACCCACGATATTCTCGGAGAAGGTCTGCGGTAGGGTGATAAAGACGCTGAAGACGGTGATTGTGGTGCTGTACGCGAGTATCTGATATTCTTCTGATATCATCTTGTAGTCATCAGCACCGGTCACATCGAGAAAACGATAGACGGCAAAAAAGAAAAGGAATTGGGAAGCAATGACTAAGAAGATCCAATAGAAGAATCGACTGGTCCAGAAGATGCAGACGAAGCGATTGAAGTGGTAATAGGGCGCCTTTTGCATTTCTGGTGTGACATACCTGATGAAACTGACCAAACAGGC